AAGCCTTACAGAAGAGTCCTGCTGAATGACTCATGAATGTGGCTTCTAGAGCAGGTAAAAGTAATTCATAGTAGTAGAAAATAAAAGCCGTGTTTGCTTCTTGAGAGTCAAACCTGAGAGGAGAGGGACGTGAGGAAACCATGTAGGATGATGACAATGCTCTGTACACTCATGGAACTTCCGCTTATACAGATGTGCACATCTGTCCAAATTGCAAAAGTAAACTTTACATCTGCACATTTCACTGAATGTAGAGTTTGTAGCAAAGAAACTAAACATACTGAGCTTCAAAGATACAGACGCTCTATGAAACTTACTGAGAGCTGCAGTTTACTTTGAAATGCAACAGAAAAGGTTGGTAAATGGACAGAGGGATAGATATGTAATGGAGAAGCTATAAAGACAAGGTTAAAGATTGTGAGGTGACTATTCTGTGTTGACTGAAAAAATAATTCAACTTTAGTGAATGGATTTTTTTACAAACAATATACTAACTTTATTTTTTACTGTTACACTGTATTTATGAAAATACAGAACCACTGTATAGCAAGATCTAACTTTATCCTCTGTAATGTCTGCTGCCACTAGAAAGTGAAAATAAAATTAAATAAATAAATAAATAAATAATAGCCGTCTTACTGTGACATCAGTGGAAAAACATGACCAACATGTTCAGGGTGAAAGCCATTAGCTTGGCTCTCACGCCACTGGACTTACCTCAGATAAGAGTCATTGCAAATGTGGTGTTGAGGCAGAGGCTTGGAGAACAGATGGACAAAGTAAAAGCCAGTGCACATGTAGTATTTATTCACAATTTAGGGACATGAGAAAAGGATGGGGTAAAAGAGGGGACTGAGAATAAAACCCATTTGGAATAAAAGTCACTTATTTTATATTAAAAAGCCACAAATGGAATTTTTCTAATTATACTAGAATACCCCACCCAAATGCTATTAAATTGACTGCTTGCATAAATCACCACTGTTGTTATTTTTTGAAGTTTACTAATAGGATGCAAACTAACAGAATTCAAATCCATTGTTATTGTGGCTCTGGCCACACCCAAGTTCACATATGTCAATTGCCTTTTCCTAGTTTATCTTGCTTTGTAATTCTTTTCCTTGGCTTTACATTTGTACAGAGTTCAGTGAGAAATCTCTAATATTCACAAAATATCTTAAAATTCATTTTCAGAGTGTTTTAGTGTATTTCAGCATAGCAGGTAAAAATGCAGGTTTACCTAAATTAATGTATAGGTGGTCTCTGAAAAGTTCTTGGGAAATGCATATTATGAAGAAATTGCATGTATTTTCAAATTTTTTCACCAAAATAAGCTATATTCTCATTTTCCTAGAAACTTGAAAGTTCCCTGGTAATATTTTAACTTATGTTGTAAACAATCAAAAAGTTAAAGCTAAGCTATGTGACATTCAAATTTAAGAAAGAAAAAGTGAAGAAAATGCCATTAGGTCTCCCTGATCAGGAAACTTTTAAGTGGGTTGCCACTATGTCTACCTGGAGTAATTTTCTTCTGCTAACACCTGGAAGATGTAAACGATGTAATGATGGGATGGAGACAATGCAACAGAATATGAAATCTATTTTATATTTACTGCTTGAGTCCCCAGCAACCTAGCAATAGCAGAACTGACAACACAGGAGGAGTTAAGGAAGGATCCGTTTTGTTTTGTTTTGTTTTGTTTGTTTTGTTTTGTTTTGTTTTAAGCAAAACCTTTGTTTCAATAGTATTTTGTCTTCTATTAGGTAATGCAAGAATCTAGTATAAAAATTTAATATCAAAATGAGTAAAAAGAAATAACAGAATTTATATTTCTACCAAGAGATTTCTTTTGCTTAGCTGTGAAAACACCCAAGTTGTTGATCGTTCAATAAATGTTTCTCTTTAAAGAAAAAAAAAAGAGAGAGAATATTGTTTCTCTTATAAAGACAGCTCCTTGTCCTTAGCCAACCCAACCATCCCTCATTCTTTTATCACGGCCATCAGATCTGTATGTGTAACATGTTCAAAAGTCCTATGGTAGAACTGTGTGAGAGGAACCTTAGAGATCATCGGAATTTAACTTCCATAAATGGAGAGGCTGAGGGTTTGACAAAATGCAGTTTTTGTTTTTTTGCTATAAAATGAAGAATTATTAAGCCACTCCTAAATAGGGCTACCTTAAACCCCACAAATTCCTACTCATCAGTTTATTAATTCTTTGTGCAAATGTTGATTTTCTTTGTTAGACATTGAATAAAGTAGCCACTGTCTTGAGGAATTTCCATTGTGAGTAGAGAAATTGTACATAATTGAATAGGCATTAATGCAATACAAAATATCAATAGGCAGTAATAAGAGTACACTTAGAACACTTAGAAGCAAGCTTTATTTTCTGTCTTTGGCTGAAGAGTTGTCACAGAAAGCCTTTTAATTTTGGCAAATTCCCTCTGACGACTAAAGGACAGTTAACCAAGCAGAGAGTTGAACAAGGGGACTGAAAGAGCGTGTCAAAAGGTCAGTGGTTCAAAAGCCCCTACATGATCTCTTCTGCCTCCATAATTTTACAGCTTATGCCACATTCAAACATGCTTCGTTTGGGAACTCATTTAGCATGTTTTACCCTGGCCTTACTTATTTGTTATAGTCATGGGTCCTGTACCTGAATATAAGCCTCAGTAAGAGGGAAAGCTGTATCTGTTCTGTATTACCTAAAACCCCGAATAATTAGCACATAGGAGATAATCGGTGTGTGTTGAAGTCTTTGAGTATCTCTCCTTGAGGTTCTTACCTTTTTCTGACATTTCATTTGGTTTTCTTTAGGTCTTTCTAGAATCCCTAAAATATCCATGGCTTCTCCATTGCTTTTATTAGTTAATCAGCTACCTCTGTGATTTAGTGTACAGCTCCTGTTAGGGAATTTTCACTGTTCTAATTTGCAAGAATCTCAGTAAGGTATATATAACAAACTCATTTGTCAAAAAAATAAATAAAAATAAATAAAAATAGCATGCTGGTGAGAATGTGGAGATAAGCACCCTAATACACTGTTGGTGAGAGTGTCAACCATTACAAAAGACAGAATGGAGATTCCTCAGGAATTGGTGAATTGATCTATCCTATGACCCCAGGCATCTCACTCCTGGGAATTTACCCCAAAGGAAAAGAAATCAGCATAGGAAAGAATTATCTGTTTCACCTATGTTTATGGCAGCTGAAATCACATGGAATCTGCCCAGATATCCTTCAACTAGTTTCTGGATACATACAATTTAGTATGCATATTCTTGAAAGAGTACAGTATAGCCATTAGAAAGGAAAAAATCTTGTTGTCCTTTGCAATAAAATGGATGCAATTGGAGACCACTATGCTTAGTGAAATAGCCCAGTCCTGTCCCCCCCCCCAAAAAAAAATTTTTCTCTGATTTGTGGTAGGTGATATGTAGAATATCAAAGAAAAAGTAATAAATGAGATCTATGTATTGAGATTTGATGAATGTTCATAGCCCTTATCTGTACTCCTAATGAACAGTTGTCTTTCTGCTTACTACTAAGGTAATTCCAAGTATGTTATCACAAATACTAGAAGAAAAATGAAGGAGGTTGGAGAGTTGGTGGGAGGGAGAGTGGGAATTAGCGTGATATTCTTAAAGTTGTACATATGAAATCTGTTCCCTTTCTATAAATCAATTTAAAAATTTAAACATACATTTACATTAATTCACTTGTTTTTAGCAGTAGCAGTAACCTCCCTTGTCCCCCATCATTTCCTTCCTAGCAAACCTGAAAAAATCGGAGGGGAGAAACTGCTGCAGAGTGTGATGTTTGTTTGAGGCCTATGTCAGCTTTTCAAAGTGTGGCCACAAAAAACACTGACCCTAGTTGTAAAAGTCATTATTTTTATTCATTCTCTAACAATACTTGAAAACTTATGGTTCAGTCTGCACCTTGTAAAAATTTGGTCTGTCATTTCATGATTGTCAGCTAGAAACTAAGGTGACTGTAAGCTTTCTGAAAGTCTAGGAAATAAAAAAGTACTAAAAATAAAGTTTATAAATCAGGTTGTAAGAGTTTAGCCAAGTGGATAATACAGAGGTGTAAGAGAAAAATAATGATGAGAACTAGTTCAGAAATTTGCTCTGAATGTGGGCACTTGAGCAGGATTCTGATTGAGATAATTTAGTGTCGGTTCTGTTTATTCTTGCCAGTGCACTGAGAGTTTGTATGTTGCCATCCACTGTGAGTTGGAAATATTCACAGCTCTGTCTCATAGGAACATTATGTTAGCTGTTGGTAAAAATGGACTACTTTGATTGCCAGTTTAGATAGACAAACAATCATTTATAAATCCTAGATGATATCTACTTCTTGTCAGCTTTGGTTTTTTTTCTTCAATAATTCTATCCTTTGTTTTGTTTTGTTTTGTTTTTTTAGAACCAATAAGTTTAGCAGTCTAGCAAAATTGTATGGGGCAATGAAATGAGCCAAGGAGGCTGCACACCTGCAGGTGATTCTCCTTGGCTGCCTTAAGACCTCAGTGACTGCATGCCGAATGTCAGCTGAGAGCATTTAAGTCCCGAATGTTGACCAAAGTTTTATTTTCAGTCTCATTTGCAAAATGAAAAAAGTTCTCATATTTTAAGAAATTAACCATTTTTATGGTATTGTTACTCTACAAAGTTATTCAGTAGTTTGGACTGCAATGCAAAGTAACAAGCTAGACACATAGGACAATTTACATATATACAATGGGGAAAAAAGCTTCATGAAGCAAACCTGATCATTATTACAATCTCTAGTAACTTCTACTTTAGTCCCTTCTGTTTAAAATTTTGCTCATAATCAACAAAACTAGTTGCACAACTCACTAATGAACTACCACACTGCACTTTGGAAAGATAGTTGGATATAAAGCTAGTTGCAATATAAATTTCCAAAATTTTGTTTGTGCTTTTTTAGTGTGGCGCCTGGCTTAAATTGCTTCTTCTCTTCTGTTAACCAGGTATCCACATGGTTTTTCACCACCTTTTCTGTCTCAGGATTGAAGGACAAAATCCACCATGTGGACAGTCTCCATCAGCTGTTTTCCGCCATATCCCCAGAGCAAATCGACTTTCCTCCTTTTGTCCTTGAATATGATGCCAGGGTAAGAAATACCAGAAGTTATCCCTCACCTGATGTAGTATAATGGCTACACCATGGAGCAGTTCGAGTGAGCACACCATCATGTTGTTATAGGATATTATTTATGTTAATGCGTTTGAGTGAGCTTAATAATATTTGATTCCTTTTCTGCAGTACCTTTAGTTAAGTACCAAAAGGCTCTGTCTCCAGATAAACATTTCAATATGAGATTCTTTTGCTGACTTTAAAGCCAATCCATGGCTGGTTGTTTTCTGTCACATTTGAGGCAGATACCTCTGGTTTTCTTAAAACCAAATGGCTTTTCATCTGATAGAGCTGGAAAGCTGTGTCTCCTTTGAGCATTATTGTAAATCTGGTAGTCTGTCTGAGAATAATTATTATCCTGCTGAAAGCTTCATTTACCTAAAGCTCGTTTGATGTTTTTAAAACCATCAACTGGTGGCATTCGTGTTGTGATTGCTTTTAGATGCATTTATGGTTCCACTAAGCATCAATGAAAGGACAACTCTTAAGTTTCATCTCAGTTCTATTCCATTGTGTTTGTTTACAGTATCACCTTCAGAGTTTAAAAAGGAAAATTAACTATTATCCTTGGCCAAAAGCTTGTTAAGCTCATTGTTTAAATGTTGCTGATTATGTATCTTTATGCATAAACCAGGGAATAGATTTGAAAGTTATAGTAAGTTTGAGATGATTTATTCTATCCTAATTATGGTGCAACTTGTATAGAGTCAAATAAAACTCCTGCAACACATTTTTTCTCTAACATTTCATAACTTTGGCTATGATTTCTTTTCCCCTTATGTGAAGAGCAAAGTGTTGAATGTGTTCTAGGGGCTAATAAAATTTTATGTTTGACTGTTACACAGAGAGGATTTGTAATTGGAGCAGCTGGATCATAGATAAAAAGATTGCTGAGCATGAAAGAGGGGAAAAAGGAAGATCATTTGTATTTACTGCCCATTGCTGGTGTTATTCCTTTGAGCTATACCGCACTTCATATTTAAAACATTAGACAGCAAGAAGCAAGAAATGTGGAATATACTCAAAAATTTTTGAGTAACAAAAATTTGGAGTGATAAACCAAGGCTAGTGTATAGTTTTATTACTTGTTTTTGGAATAGAAATATGCATGTTGAGTGTTTGGTCAGCAAACCTCAAGAACTGTCTGATGCTAAACAATTTTCAGTATATGTAATGGTCTGTCAAGCAAACTTCCATTAAATATCAACTCTATAGTCAGATGTGGTTTTGTTTTCCTGTTGTGTTTTGTTGGGGTGTCTGTTTTAACTTTCTGTTCTTTTTTGTATTATCAAGTATTAGCATAATTATGTGATTAACCAGAGTCATGGAAGTACCTGTAAACTATAATATAACACTGGGTTCATTGGATTTTGTTCTTTAATCGTGAGACAGATAAGGTGGTGAAAAACCATGTGGGTACCTGATTAACAGAAGAGAAGAAATAATTTAAGCCTACATCTATAGTAGAGCCTTTTTTTAAGAATACTTTTGAAGTAATGAGTAGGGGAGCTACTTTTTTTGTTTGTTTGTTAAGATTTACTTTATTTATTTGAAAGTCAGAATTCTAAGAGCTAGAGAGATCTTCCATCCACTAATTCCAAATGCAGCAAAGAAGGATCTTGGTTAAACCAAAGCCAGAAGACAGGCACTTGAGCCAGGTCTCCCACAAGGATGCAGGGGCCTTCTGCTGCTGCTTTCCCACATGCCTTAGCAGGAAGTTGGATCAGAAGTTTGAAGCAGCTGAGACTCAAACCAACATCCATATGGGATGCCTGCCTTGTAAGAAGCAGCTTAACACTTTACACTACAATGCAGGAGCTTTGTAAAGTGGAGCTTTCTAAAGTGGAGGTAATCTGAATGCCGGAGAGAAGCATAAAAATGGGGGAGAAACCAGAGTATTGGGGAATGCTGTGGGAGACACAGGTCGGAGGTGAACCCTGGACACTACAGTGGTACATGCTTCACTGCAGGGTTGAATCTTGTACCTGGCAGAGAGAGTTCTGTAAGAACTTTGTTAAGAAAGAGGACTAAAGTGGCTGGCATTGTAACATGGTAAATTAATCCTCCACCTACGGTGCCAGCATCCCACATGGAAGCTTTTCCTATCCTGACTACTTCACTTCTGATCCAGCTTCCTGTTTTCTGCCTAAAAAGCAGCAGAAAATGGCTCAAATCTTTGGAAAATTGTACCTGCCTCTGACTCCTGACTCCTGAGTGCCTCAGCTCCAGTATTGCAGCCATTTGGGAAGTGAACCAGTAGACCAAAGACCTTTCTCTCTGTCTCTCCTCTCTATATAAAAATCTGCATTTCAAATTAAAAAATAAGTCTTAAAAAAAAAAAAGAAAGAAAGAAGACCATAGAAATTGCACAGGGATGACCAGGAAAGATAAGTTTATGGGCAGGGATGTAAGAATCTGTTAGACCAGCTGGAGCAGAAATCAGAGTAGAGTGAGCGCACTGGTAATGACAAGAATTTAAAGATGTTAGCAATATTCAGAAATAGAAATTCTAGGAAATAAAATTCATACCATTTAGTGACTGAAGCATTTAGAGACAGAAAAACAGAATTTCTGCTCTTGCAAAATACAATTTTTCATGTTGCTGCCACCCAAGAGAAGCAGTTGAAAAGGCAAGCATCGAAAGATTAGGACAGAGAGACGGTACGTTCTGTCTGTGACAGAGGAGGTGCCCTTGGGGAATTGAGGTGACGTAACTGGGTGTCACCTTGTAAGGAACCACCTTTTTTGCTAGAATTCAAAGTATGATTGGAGAAAATAAATGAGTAGAAAGTTGTTTGCTTTTGTTATGTTTGTTATGTTTTGTTATGTGCCTTGCCTGTGAGAAACGTTTAATTTGATTGAAAGGGTGGGATAATGTTGGCTGTTAACAAGTGGCACTGGGCTTCTATTTTCCTGAGGATTTATATGGTTTGGAATAGCAACATAAATTTTATAGAATCAAGAGGAATCTTTGAAAGTAATTCTTATCTGTCTAGATAAAAGTGATACTAAAAAGCAAACATTTGGCCTAATAGTTAAAGCATGTATCCCTTGTTGTAGTGGTTTGAGTCCGAACTTGGTTCCATATGCTGGTTTCCTGCTGATGCTGTCACAGTAGATAGGAGATCTCTCTGTCTCTAACACTCACACTATCTCACCCCTTCACTCCCTTTCTGTTTTCACTTTTTCTGCCTTTCAAATAAAATAATTTAAAAAAAGAGAGAACGGCAGAAATCCAGAATTGTTACAAGTACAATGGAAGAAGATAGCATACAGTTTTTTCCTGGCCACAATTCTTGAAATTTCAGTGATTGTTTCCAGAAAGAGAGAAAATATTTGACAGTTAAACAGTCTGTTGCACAATGTGAGATTAATATAAGAAGCTTTATTTTGTGGCAGTCTTAGACTTGTTCTTGTTAGTTTAGCATAATGTAATGTAGATATGGGAAACTTAGAGAAGTATGAGAGTGGAGCAAAATTAGCTGTTTTCAAGTGAACATCGTAGAAGGTTTAGGTCTTAGGTCATGTTTCTCTACGCATAGCTTCTGTGCATGTTGAATATGCAGGACAGGTTAATAAAATAGATCTTGATAGAGAGTACTGAAATGCCAAAAAAAAAAAAAAAGGAATAAGTGATTTCATTCAAGTGTTCAGAATTGCCGAAATGTAATCAACCCACTTTTTAAGGAGAGTATTTTGATGTCTGGTCAGATTTATTACCAGAAAGTCAGTTTTCCGGAATCTGACCCCTGCTACAGAACATCTTGACTCATTTAGTGCCTCTGATCACATCTAACTGCCTACTGTGCTCCAGAATAACTGTAATGTAAACATCCCATAAAGAAACGCTCAACTGTTGTCTTAATACTAAGCATTTTCTGTTTTGATATACTGAGAAGCAAGTTCTTTGTCAAAGAAATACTTTCCTTAAAAAATGAAGATACAATCTTAAGTTACTTAAATGTAATCTAGGATCCTTAAAGCTAAGTGTCTTCATTTTGATGAGAATAAAACCCATTAAAGTGAGAGCCTGAACATTTCTTCTCCCCCTTGATTTTTTGCTTCCTACATGGGACACTCAAGTTCTGGCATTTCATTATCCTTCCTGGACTTCAACTAGTGTGCTGAGAACTGAAATTGTTAACGAGACTTGCCACTCGGGCATGTGATGAAGAAAATTCTTCTCTGCCTAGTTATCAGTTCCTTGGTGATAAGTGTTTTATTTCATCAAGTATATTAAAATTTGGCACAGGAAAGGACAACACAGTTTTAACAAAAAATTATTCAAGTAATAAATTCCATAGAATTGGATTTAAATTCAGACTCTGATGTTTCCAGCAAGATGACCTTCATTGCATTACATGTGACGCTCATCTTCTTCTTTTATGAGAATAGTATGCACTTCACAGCATTGAGTGAGGATTTAAAGGAATAATGAAGAAAAAATGATTATAATGTGTCTAACATGTGGAACATTCCTAAGTGGTATTGTTAACTTAAATGTTAATTATGCCAACTCTGACTCTAGAATCTGAAGGCCTGCTCAGGACCAGCCATGGACTAGACATTTGACATCACTTTCTCATTGAGTATAAATCCCTTTCCAGTATGTTCCCAGTTGCATGGGCATTGTTACTTCATATTCTTGTCTTTTTTCTTTCCACAGGAAAACGGGCCTTACTATGCGTCTTATCCCCCATCACCGGATTTGTGACCTGCCATCTGTCAGTGCTTTGTGATTACGACGATGCCCCTCCCACCACGGATCACTACCTAGTGAAGTAATACTCATTTTTGCTGTACAGATCCAGGGAGCCTTTTGTGCCCACCTCTCTGGTATTTTTTTATTGACTGTATATTTTCTGGCACATAAAGCAATCTAAAAATGGTAGGCCATTCTGAACTGCACACATTTTAAATTTGTATATTTGTATCAAATGGAAATGTTCATTTTTAGAGTGTTGTTAATAGCAACCAGGGAGCAACTTTTGAGTATCTTCAGTTTTCTGAGGGATACTGGATTCTCCACTAGACAAACCACCAATATTGTTCATGTCATCTCTTTAACATTGCACGCTTCCTTTGTGTACTTAAGTGTCTCTTGAAATACATGGAACCAATCTATGCTGGCCAGATGCATTGTTTGTTTCAAACCTGGCATTAATACCATTTTTACTTTATACAGGTAATTGGATTATGCCAAATAACTATCTGCAACAAAGAATTTGGAAATGTATCTCATAAAAAAATCATTATTAGTAAAATATAGAACTTACAGTTTTACTGCATGGTTGAAACTGAGGTTTACATACTAAGTTTCCTGGGACTGTGTGATTAGTTAGACTCACCACTGTTCAGATGACAACCGTGTGGCGCAATGAGAGTTTATCTTTACCTTTTCTCCCATAATCGTGGGCGATCTCATCTAATTGTTCAGAAGAGCTGCACATGCTAATACTCTCACAGGAAAAGCATCTCCCAAGACCACATCCCTGAGTCTGTAGAGAGTGTGCTGTTTTCCAAGACTCATGAATGATTTTGTTTGGCTCTAAGAGCCACTACCTGTAAGGGCATTTCATAACAGTGTCTCTTGAGTTGCCAACATCAGTGTGAAGGGTGTGGGGACCTGATAATTGGCTTTTGTTCAGATCAGCTTGCCATTTAGGCTCTATTTGTGCCTTAGATTGCTAATGAATAGTTTGGAATTATGCTGTCTACCTCACAGAGGTACCATGCAGATGATGTTTAGAAAGGGCTTTGATGTCTGTGGGTGAAAAATGCTGATGGAGTTTGTGTGGTGAGTGTCATCAGTTTTTATCTGTGAACCAATACAAATGAGTGAATACCACAAAGCACCCCCTTTGGCCTTTGGCACCTTTTCAGTGGTTTCTGTTTTGGGGAAACAAAGAACTGTTAGTGCAAAATCCCAACCCTGACAACCTCCTCCTGCTTCGTCCAGAATTTCTTCTGGCCCACTCCTTCCCTAATACTGCACTTTTAACAAAAGGCATCTGTTAGCCATTTTAAACATTTCTTCTTGAATTAAGCTCAAACTATTATCATTTCCATCTGGGTGTCTTCATACTGCTTTTGATTCCTACACCCACCCTAGTATGTACTACAACTGTGTTGTACTTCAGAGAAGAGAAAACAGAACCTTTCTGCTCGTTTGAACTTGGAAGCAGTGGTTCCAGAGGTCCCATTCTCCTTTGCCGGAACGTTGCTCAATGCACATGATAAAACATACTTCTCTTCATGTATGGTTGGAAAGTGTCCCACTGGTTGTTAGCCTTGTCTGGTGCCTGCCCATGTAAACAAGGATGGGCTTCATGGTAGAATGGGGAAGCATTCTACTGCATGTATGGGACACATATACTTTGTATCTTGTATCAAAACACCTTTAGTATGTGTATATGTCAAGGACTTTTCTGTTAAATTCTGTAAGTCACCAGATCCAGAATAGCAGTTGAACATCAGTTATTAAACTTCCTTTCAAACAATCCTCCTTTAACCCCTTGAGCCTTAAAAGTAACAATAGGTTATCTTCATTTTCTTCACTCAAGTGACGTTTTTTTTATTTGAAGTATTTCTTTTTTCTCTAGAAGCAACTAGAGAATATGTCAACTTTTCATGGTAAAATTAAGACTTAGCCACTTCAAGTTGGCATCTGACCTGAATCATTTCCAGTATAAATAATAAAGACTGCTACTTTCTATGGTAAAGCAAGTGTATTTATGTATGATTCTTAGATCCAGTAATTTTGAAAAAAATGTTTTGTTGTAGTGATGCTGGCATGTTACTGTCTAAAAATACAAAAAGGATTCTACATATTCTATTATTCTACTTGAGTTAATGTCCTAGATATGAAGTGATATGTGACCAAATACACATCAATAATATTTCATTTTCTGATCATCACTAAAGGAAAATAAGGGCTAGTGTACATAAAACTAGATCAAATGTGGGACCAAGAACATGCTGTTGTGGTTCCCTGAAAAGTTACCTAATGAAGTTATTTCAGCATACTAAGGCTTAGAGGGACAGCAGGTGACAGTGATATTGAAATGATTAAGTAATATATAATATGTTTGTTGAAAAGCTGGGTAGTCTGGAGAATTATGCTTCATGTTCAAGGACATATCAGAGTTCAGAGGACTGATTGGGTGGATATGAGCACTACCATCTGATCTTAATTCAGAACACCACCAAGTCCTTAATTTATTAAACCTTGTTCATGCCAAATGATAGTTGCAGTTCTGAAGACACAGCTTACAAAATATTAACTCATAAACTGATTCATGCAAGATGTAATCCTTTTTGTTTTTTTAAAAAACAAGCACACTTTACAGCATGTATTTGGATTCTTCTTAATTCATCTGTGTTCAGGTTTCTTGGTAGTAAAAGTGATCCCTTGAAAAAAGCTCAGTCTTTGTTATAGTCTCAAGGCCAAGAGGCTCCTACTTTTAAGACTGCATTTCCTTTCACAGAAGTGACTATCTTACTTCATTGGCTAATATTTTATTATATTTTCCTTTTTCAAAAGAACCCATCTGTAGTATTTGAGATTCAAGTTTTAAAGAATATTTTCAGTGAGGGAAATAAAATATTTTTAACCAAATTTCTAAATTCTAAAAGGAATAAAACATGTCCTGTCTATAGAGAAGAATGGGTTTAATCACTGTAGTACAAAAAGCATGCCTATTTCTCCTTGTTTCTGACTTGCTTAATTATTTAGTGAACTCAAACTGTAAGTAATAATTTAGTATTTTCTTTATAAGAATTAGTAGAAAGAAGATCAGATATAGTATTCAGCATCTGCTGATAGTCAGTCTTTATGTTCCCCCAATGCATTACTTGTGTAAGTATATACAGAGAGTTCTTATTGCTCAATATAAGAACAGAAATTATTAGAATTTGAAGTGCTGGATAGAGGCTTGTATGGTTCTAGGAACTGGATTCATTATATTAAAGACTAAAAGGATTCAAGATAACTTTTGAAGACCTAAACTTAGAGTTAGATGAGTTCTCCATTGTAGTTCTTCTTACTAACAGTCCTTGTAGTCTGTAGGCACTAGAAAATTTTAGCTGTGATGGCAGCCATGCAGCCTCACAGCATAGGATTGACTCGTGGTTTGTGGTTGCCTGAGAACATGGAAGATAAAGGAGGTTTCTGCTTTTGCTGTGGTCATTTTGAGTGAATATCACAAAATTGATGGCTTAAATAGCAAATACTTCTAACAGTTTTGGATCTGGACAGACTAAATCAAGATGGTACCAGTTTATTTCTTAATGATGGGCCCTTTCCAACTTTGTAAATAACTTTCTTTTGCCTTATCCTCACAGAAGAAAGACCTTTAAGGAGGAGCATCACTCTTCCCTGTCTCTTCTGACGAAGGGCATGGATCCCATTCATGAGGGATCTGTACTCATGACCCACTTACCTCCCATACACCCCACTTCACAATATCACAATGGGAGTTAAAGCTTCAGCACATGAGTTAGAGTAGGAAAGGTATACAAACATTCAGTCTGTAGCAAACCTTTAGTCTGTGTTATATGACAAACCCAGAGATGATGAAGCCTTTCAGTAGGCCTAACCGTATGCAATTCTGTACACATGCGTATATGTGCATATGTAATCTGTTTCGGTTTATGTTCTTCCTGAGTTATAGGAACCTAGAGCAATAAAGAATGCTTCAAGCTTTGACCAAACTAGCCCTTAAACATGATATTAAGATCGTTTTAGATATTAGTAGTTCTTTTGACTATTAATTTTATTTTCTACACTTCCAAGAGCAGTAGCTTCGAGTTTTCGTTTTTGCTTTTTAATATTTATTTTGATTGGAAAGGCAGATTGACACAGAGAAAGATCTTCCATCCTCTGGTTTACTCCTTAAGTTACCACAACGGCCAGAGCAGAGCCACTTCAAAGCAGGAGCCTCTTACAGTTCTCCCATGCAGTGAGGATCCCATGGCTTTGGCCATTCTCTACTACATGCCACAAGCAGGGAACTGGGTGGAAATGTAGCAGCCAGAACACAAATTGGTTCCCATATGGGATCCCGGTGCATGTAAGATAAGGATTTAGCCACTGAGCCATCATGCCAGGCTCTTGAGTTGTTTTGTTTCCCAAAAATACTCTGCCTTAAATATATAAGGCTGGTGAGATCAAGAAGAGCATAGGCATTCTGTAGGTGAATTATGCTAACAAAATTATACTGCTGGTTACAACTGGATGTTTTTGCTGAACAGTAAAACATTTTGTACCCACAATCACACTTTTCTTTGGTAATGCGTTATTTTGTTAGTGTTAAGTATGCACTCATCCTAAACTGAACAAAGCTTTTGTTTAGAGCAGATCTTATGAGCTAAAATACTTAACAGCCTAACATATGTAAATGATTTTCATTGCTGTTGGACAATGGCAGTGTTTTGAAAAGGTCTTAAAACTTGTTTATTCAAAAATCCACAGACTTTTATGAATAGTTTTCATTTCAAAACATTTTTTGTCTTTCTGTATTAGAAGATAAGCCCTTTTAAAGAGGGTCCCATTGTATGGAAGCGTAACCTAGAAAGAATGGGAGATGGTCATTGACCATATATGCCAGACCTTTGGAGTCACTTAAGTTAACCTAAAGACTAGTACAGAATGCAGTGAATTTAACTGTTAACATTCTCTATAGAGTCCTAGACCAGTACTGCTCAAACTTTAATATGCACCTGTCAGATCATCTGAGGGTATTATTAAAGTGTAGACACTGACTCAGTAGTGCTGGAATGGTACCTTTGTTGCTCAATTTCTGAATAGCTCATGGGTGATATCAATAATCCTGATCGCCAGACCACACTCAGAATAAAGAACTTAGACTATGTTTAGCTTCCATATTTTCCTGTGTCAGAAAAAGGAGACTGAGCTACCCTTTTAATTCCTTTTGTGGGGCCACATTCTCACTTTCATTCTTTTTAATCATCTTACAAGTCTGGTGAGTTAGGTGATAATAGAGGTAGTGGCCTGCTGAACCGCTCAGCACTGGCACTGCAGCGCAGAGCAGTTTCTCAAACCTGCAACATGTACATCCCCATTTGAATATGAAAAGGAAATATTTTAGCTCAATTTTCACTTGTCACACTTATATTACCTATATCAACATAAAACTAGCCATGAATTGTTCGTGTTTATATCTTTTATACAAGAACAAAACTAAAGATCGCACACAAGCGAAATGATAAAACTAATAAAATGTAAAATAACATTAAGTTTGATGAGTGCTAATGTCTTTGCCAAAATGAAACTTACTTGTAAAGTGGTTATGATGCTTAGCACACACATACTACCATGGTGACTCAGTTCTTCCTTTCGCTCTTTCAGACTGTTTGGTTTGTTCAGCTTGTAGTAGTGTTACTTGGTCTTCAGCATGGCTGCATCATTTCCCTACTAAGTCCAGCATCTTCTTTCTACAACTAAAGCAGACCTGGGCTCTAAGGTAGACGTAAATATGTCTGCAAAACCTAAACACTGAAATTTCTGGCAATATTAGGTTTCAAGGCAATTATCCAGACAACTTAGAAAATAAACATCAATTAACAAAAGTGTTCATTTTTTTAAAAGATTTATTTGTTTTTATTGGAAGGCAGATATACGGAGAGGAGGAGAGACAGAGAGGAAGATCTTCTGTCTGATGGTTCACTCTCCAAGTAGCCACAAAAGCTGCAGCTGAGTCAATCCGAAGCCAGGAGCCTGGAGCTTCTTCTGGGTCTCCCACACGGGTGCAGGGTCCCAAGGCTTTGGGCTGTCCTCGACTGCCTTCCCAGGCCACAAGCAGGGAGCTGGATGGGAAGTGGAGCTGCTAGGATTAGAACTGGCGCCCAAATGGGATCCCAGTGCATTCAAGGCACGGACTTTAACCACTACGCTATCTGCCGGGCCCAAAAGTGTTCATTCTTAAAGTGCATTGCTAGAGACCTTCCCATGCTCCCAACACACACGAACATTCCACGTGATTTTTGGTGGATCTCAATAAGAAGCAGAAATACATTGGTACGTCTGACACACTCGGGTTCAGACCTGGGCCTGTGTCTCGACCATTTTGAACGTTGGTATTTCTATGTGTTAAACAGGAAACAGGATAACTGCAGTAGTGATCCTAAAGCATGGTTAGTGAGTATTTGTGACACCTTTGATTAAAAATAGTAAATTCACATTGGAGGATCTACTATGCACTTGACCTTTCGTAAGCTCTTAATGCTCATATGTGTGATCTCACATGTATAACTAGTAGAATCAGGATTCAAGTTCGACTTCAAAGCTCATGCGTTTAAAAAAGTTCAGATAGGGCCCGCCGCGGTGGCGCAAGTGGTTAAGTCCTCGCCTTGCATGCCCGGGATCCCATATGGGCGCCGGTTCTAATCCCAGCAGCCCCGCTTCCTTTCCAGCTCCCTGCCTGTGGCCTGGGAAAGCAGTCGAGGATGGCCCAAAGCTTTGGGACCCTGCACCCATGTGGGAGACCCGCAAGAGGCTCCTGGCTTCGGATTGGCATAGTATCGGCCCATTGCGCTCACTTGGTGAGTGAATCATCGGATGGAAGATCTTCCTCTCTGTCTCTCCTCTCTGTATATCCGCCTTTCCAATGAAAAAATAATAAAATAAATCTTTAAAAAAAAAAAAAAGTTCAGATACCACATCAAATGAGTTGCATATTTTAGACTTTTTTTTAAAAATTGTATGTTCTCAAAAAAGTTATAAAATTAAAGCTATTTCTTTAAAAAGAAAAGGCTGTTTCCATTTAATAGTTATGTAGTAAGCTGATATTCAAATGAAATAAGTGATTTAAAGGCTATCTTGCTAGATTATGGGAAAGATATTAGATGTTAGTATGGTTTTAATGCCTACAGTCATGAGAGTCTCCCTGTACAGAGGATAGTTTCCTTACAGAAGAATTTTACTCTGACCTGATGTTATCCTGAAATTCCATGTCAGTTCCATAAAAGCCAACTTAGTAATTTTCATCAAAAACAGTTGTTCTAACTGACCTTTACAGTGGTTACTAGTGAGTCTTCTATGTTCTCCTAGTTTTCTGAGGTAAATTTACAAACAGAATGATTTGTATGTGTTTTGCTTGTTTCATTTAACTGAATATTGGGAGAAAAAGCAGGAAAGAGTTGTTGGGAGAAGAAAAGGGAGAGAATTTTAAGTGGAACTCATTTACTAACAAAAAATGGTGCGAGCTACATTCAGATTCTTCCCCCAATTACTAAAACACATTTGCAGGAGTTGTTAGACTAGTAGAGACATTATAAAATTTCAAACTGTCTTTAAATGGTATAAATTATTTTTTTTAAAGATTTCCTATCCTCCTAAATAACAGTGCAATAATGATTGATGGTGTGGAAATTTTTGACTCCTTTTCTAGTCTGGCTGCTTTTGTCCATCTAAGGGCTTTTAAGTTCACTGGATGCCTGCCTCTCCATATGAGAGATTAGCAAAACAGAAAAGAATTTTTCTGTGACACTCATTGCCTCATCTTCTCACAGAATTAGAAAAATTTCTGGTATCACATTCATAGAGAGGGCCCAGTTCTTCCTGAATTTCTCCCTTTTAGCAGGAGAAATTTATTTGAATACAAATAAGAATTTTTGGCATTATTTCTTTATTAATTGAGTGGAATGGTCATATATGTTTGGCTTTTTTAAAACACAAACTTTATTAGTAGCTACATAAAGCATTTGGCTATTTCATTATG